AAAAAAAAAAAAAAGGACCATTCCTTATTCATTAGGTTGTCTATATTCCTTTCTACTTCCCTCCTGGGTCTTCTTCTCGCCCTTTTCAAGGACCAGTCCTTATTCATTACCCAGAATAGTCCTGTCATGTTATTTGGTGATGCCACCGGAGCTAAGGCCCTTATGCTGTCCAGGGCCCTGTCTCTTATACACATCTAGATGTGTATAAGAGACAGTGCATGCCCCGTTCCTGAAACACAATGGCTTTTGGGTATCGCTTTCTGTTAAACGGAATGTGAACCACTTCTTCTTCTTCTTTGCTGACGGCTCGAGAAAAAAAAAAAGTGCAAAAGTGGACAAGCTTGACTTTTTTGGCGTGCAGTCAGCGGGGTGGCCCAGCGCAGCAGGCTTGGCTGTGGGCAGTCCGCAGCTTTTCGGCAGAAGTAGTTGAATGTGCCGACGATGTTGGCAACGTTTCGTGCTCAGAATATTTTTGACAAAAATATCTGAAAACATTCAGCAACAAATTCGGATGTCGGCTTCCCGAGTTCTGATCTGTTCGATATAAATATTAAACGAAAAGTTGCCGACGATGCTGGCAACTTTTCGCGCTCCGAATATTTTTGACAAAACTTTTCTGGAAACATTCAGCAACAAATGTCGATGTCGGCTTTTCCCAAGTTCTGATCCGTTCGATATAAATACTAAACGAAAAGTTGCCGGCGATGTTGAGTTGGCAACTTTTCGTGCTCAGAATATTTGACAAAAACATCCGAAAGCATTCAGCAACACTGATGCAACAAGTACCATTCAGGTTGACTCAGCACAACATCTTCGATATGAATGTCCCGACGATGGAAACTTTTTGTGCTCAGCTTTCGCCCCCTGCTTCCGAAGTTCTGATCTGTTCGATATAAATACTAAACAAATAGAGCAAGAAGTCTGCTAAGCGAAAAAAAACTGGTGGTGGCAAAAGAGTTCTACCTGCTGCTGCCTGCCGGACCTCGTCGTTCTGGTTCCGTGGGCGGATCTCAGGAAAAAGAGCGCCGGTTCGTTAAAATAGCGTAAGGGGGTGTGGGTGTGGCTTGATAAGGAGTCTTAACTCCCGTTCTCCTTTTTCGAGCAGCAAGGTTGTTGTTGTTGGTGTTGTTGTTTTCCCATTGTGTAGCAGTGTGTGTGGATTTTGTATCTTGAGATTGTTGACACGTCTTTGTGCGGTGTGATGTCGCCACTTCATCCACCAAACTTTTGTTGTGAATGTCTTCGCTGCGTGCAGATCCAGGCAACATCCATGGGTGCTGGAGTCATGGTAGCACTTCTTACTGGGCAGTTGCTGTCGAGTACGAAAGAGCCGACAGCAAAGGAGCGGCTAATGGCAAAATTTTATGCAGTCGACGATGACGACCATCCGGCGGATGTGCTGCGCATCCGACATGTCCTGCTGACGCAAGGACTCGTGATCAATGACAGTACCACTGCAGCTGCGAAGGAAGTCGTGCGGAAAGCCTTGGTGCGAGAGCGGCGAGATGAAGAGGACATGAAACTGGAGGAAGAGGCGCAAGAGCTACAGAAATTATTGCAGGCAAAGAGGGCGCAACGATTGGCGTCGTTAGCTGCGAAAGGGGAGGAAGCGGCCTCTGCTCAGCGGCACTCGCGGTCTAAGTCGTGGTCGTTCATGGGCCTGCTCGGTTACAAAGGCCCAGGCACCCAAGCGAACGACAATCTGGAGAACGGTGTGGCAGAACCTTACGCCAATTCTACGGACAGAGGGGCTACCAAAAGCAACGGTAGTGGAAACGCGTATGACAAAACTTCAGAAGCGTCTGAACGTTGCAGAGAGGCAAGGATGGATAGCAATGCCGAAGATGATGACGATTCGGATGCTCTCGATGTCCGGAATCGGTGGGAGGAGGAAAGGGCTTGCGCGTCAGAAATGGCAGAAGGCGACGAGCGCGCTGATGTTAGGGATGCTGGAAGGGATACGGAAGGAAGATCGGAAAGACGATCGGAAGCTGATGACGACAGCAATAATAGAGGCTGGAGAATGGACCAGTGTTCAGAGTCTTCCATAGAGGAAAATGCGCATTTGTAATCGGACTGCAGTTGTTGTTCTCTGGTCTGGCATCCCACAGACTCATTTTTTTAAAAGGGCGACGACCTTTGGATATCAACGATATCATCATTGGATTGACCGCCCGAGGTAAGTCAGAAATGATTTTATACTCTGGTCATTTGGCTGCATCTGGATTCGAACTCGGGTCCGTATTTCAACGGGCCACTGGTGTACTCACTGAGCTAGGCCCGTTGGTGCATCCTACGGACTGCTATTTGTGAAAGGGTGGAGAATCAAGCGGACGGTGGGATCTTGTAGAGAGGAGAGGAGAATGTCCGTCTGCAAGTGAAATGGGAAGAACGGAGTGATCTTCAAAATTATTCTGGAGAGGAAAATGTGCAGCGTGCCATCAGCTGTAAATGGAGAGGAGTAGGTGTCCGTTGGTGTAGCGTGCAATCGTTGTCCCCCCCCCGTCCAGCTGTTCATCAATTGACTTTCTCGGTCCAAAAGGACATTGAGGAGGAAGATCAATGGTAAGGAGGAGGACATAGGCTTAGGATTGTTTTAGGGTTTGGTTTTGCGGCTTGTTATGTCCTGCTGTGTGATTCGTTGGGATTATTCAAATATGCAATAATTTTTTATTTTATGTTCGAGATTTCAAAGGTAGCACTTGTTTTTCAAAGGGGCATTAAGAAAGAACTTTTCCTTTTGTTAAAGAAGATGGCCAAAATTTCCTTGTTAGTGTTTAATCGCTCGACCGTTAGGGTTTAGGGTTTAGGGTTTAGGGTTTAGGAGTTTTGGTGTTTGTGTGGACACACTGATTTCTGGTTTGCCTGCTTTCTTCAAGTTTCTTGGTTCACCTTGTTGTGAATGTCTTCTTTTGCAACTTTCACACAGAGCCTACGACGGAACTTGAGCTGGAGACCTTTGCCTTACCAAGGGAATGCTCTACCACGTGAGATGCGTGGCCTCCCACGTACCTCACGCGGAAAGGTGATTGCAGACGGCTGTCTTCTCGCCGTAGAACTGTCTTTTCCTCTAAAGCACAAACACAATGCTGCAGCGTGAGCTTGCCAGATGTCGGTCCTTCTTCTTTCTCTGGAAGGCATCACCATGTTTCGTTCATTTGCATTCTTAAGACTCTCTCTCTCTCCCCCCCCCTCTTCACTCCTTTCCCCTTTGTCTTTTATCCCCTATTCCACTCCTCTTCTTTCTTCGCTCTCTTCTCTCCCTCCCTCCCTCCTCTTTCTCTTTTTCTTACTTTCTTTATTTGCCAAAATGTGGACCATTTGCCGACCTTTGTGTGTCATCTTTGCGCAGGGACCTTTTTTTATTATTTTCTTCTTTTGAACTTTCCTGCTGTACCTGTTCCTTCTTCTCTGGTACCCCTCTCCTCAGCTCCCCTCCTCCTTTCTCCCACTCTCCCCTTCTCCCTTTCTGTGGTCGCCCCTCTCGTCCCCCCCCCGCTCTTCTCCCCTTCTCTCCTTCTCCAATTCTTCCGTTTTCCCCTTGTTGCTTGTACTTTTCTCCCCTGGTCTCCTTCTTGCCTTTCGTTTGCACCTTTCCTCACCTTCTTCCCTTTTCTCTGTCCTTTTCCACTCTCGCTTGCTCCCACTTCCCCCCCCCTCCCATGCCTGACTCATCCTGTTATTCTCCTCTTTGCCCTCCCTCCTCCTCCCTTGATACCAGCTAAAAGGTCTGTAGAGTCTGTACGTGTACGTATTTCAGGTACAGGTGCCAAGTGACTTCTTAAGCTGCTGTGCCCCGGTGAAGGCACCAGTTGTCAGACAGGTCTTCTGTTCCGTCTTCCGCAGCGCTCATGCCCATGGGAGTTATTGCAGCATGCACCCGAAGCTGTTCTAGATGAGTGATTTCCAGTGACCGTGTGGTGAAGGGATCGGTGAGCGGTGAGCAGTTTGATGAGCTTAACTGGCAGAGACCTGAACTTTCAACACAAATCAACAGTGACAACTCAGGACTCGTTTAGTGCATTTGTGTGTGTTTGTGTGAGCACGCATGTGTGTGTGTCTGTGTGTCTGTGTCTCTGCAAGCGCACGTGTATGTCTGTGTGTGTGTGTGTGTGTGTGTGTGTGGTTGAGAGAGAGTTTGTCTGTGTCTGTGTTGTTCGAGCGAGTGG